CAGGAGTGCCCGTGCTTTTTCAGCCAGTAATTTTAAAGTGTTACAACCTGGTCTGCACGCAGGCAGCCAATCCTTTTAAAACAAATCATATGTTTTAGCCAATTACTGTTCGAGGGGGTCCCCCGGTGTACGTGCCGTCTCCGGCCCTTGGTATGAGGAAATGACCTTTACCCGAGATAGCACCTGTGAATAGTTTCGGTCAGGGGAGACAAGCTGTAGAGTCGGCCAGCTTATCGATTAACTTGTGAGGTTACTGCTTAATTACTAGGAGAGTAAGGGGTAAGGTAATTTTTAGCAAAGCATGTTACAGAAGCCAGAAATTGCTTGGTTAGACATGAAACTCGGCTCCCTGGCAAAGGGGCTAGAGGCCTGGTGGTTTGAGGAGGGGGTCTTTCATTCCCCCATTTCTTTTGTTAGTGCCTCTAACCTTAGAGGCAGGTGTTGTCTCCTTCAGTTTCTTGTTGCTTGAGGGCTTGATAACGTTGGGTTAAAACTAGGGTCTGTACCACCGACAGGCGGTCTTTTACAAATTGTATTAGGCGGTTCACAATGCAAGGGCCTAGGGTAAGGATTAGCACCAGTAGTATAAGTAGTCCCATCAAGGAGGATAATAGAGTAGTGAACCACGGAGACCTGTTCCATAATTCTTCATACCAGTTCTGTTGGGACTCAAATTCCCGCTTTCTCTTATCTAGTCTCTCTTTGAGTTTGTCTAGGGTCTGGATTACTACTCCAGTTTTTTTAGCGTAAAAACAGCATTCTTCTTTTAAGGCTGCACATAGGCCCCCTTCCTTTAGAAAAAGTAAGTCTAACCCCCTCCGATTTTGGAGGACTACCTCAGCTAAGGAGTTTACGGAGTCTGTCAACGCCCGGACGGACTCTTCTAGGGTTTTTAGGTCTTCATTCATAGCCTGTTGGAGGAGCATATATTGATCTGCCTTCATCAGGGCTGTCGTTCCTGTGGCGATTCCTGCCGATATGCCTCCAAAACCCAAGAGAACAGCTAATGTGAGGGTTACAGGTTCTCTTTTGTTTTTGCATAAACGGTCCTCGAAATACCGGAGGACAAATTCATCGGGATGGTAGGTGATACGAGGCCAAATTTGCACTAGTACACAATAATCCCTAGTTTGGTTAAAAACGGCTGCTGACACACACACGGGGTAATTCCAGTGTTACAAGCCCAATAGAATCCATCCAGGGGGACCAAATAATAAGGGCCAATGGTAACTGCCTGAGTTAGATTACATAAGGTTCTATGGGATGATGGTACGTAGCCCAAGCATATTCCATCTCCTGATACCTCTGAAAGGGTCAGCTGGTGGCTGGGAAGGGAGTTACAAGTGGTGGGAGGGCTGGTGTGGTTGGAGAAATTTGCAACCACAGCGATGCCCTCGTAGTACGGTGGGCTGGGGGCTAAGCAAAGTCAACAGTTTTCAGTGCGGTCTGGGTCTGAATAGTTTAACCTGGTTAAAGGGGCCTATGCCGCTATAATGAGCCTATCTCCTGTCCCCAGTGGGACGGGGACTGCTGAGGGGGTAGAAGGAGGAGAAGTAATGGACATGGGGGAGAGGGTAGAACTAGCGGGGTCTCTAGTTTTGGGTTTGGGGGCCGACGGCAGAACGGCGGGGGCCCTGTGGTCTGCTAGAACCGGATTGGGTCCGATGGGTAGAATCGGGGCTATTTCTTTACGTAACCTAATCTGGAATATTGCCCCCAAGTCTGGTCCAGTTATGTACCATCTCAGCCCCCACTGTCTTCCTGCCACCCATACAGCTGGAGATTGGGCTTTTCCCTTATCTGTGAAGGTTATTTTTAGGGGCATGCAGGTGGCATTGGTATTACACCGAGTAGCCCAAGGGCGTCCCTTTTTTACACTAATTAGGTCCCAGGAGGAGCTGGGCTGCCAATATGCATCTCCTGTTGTTTCACAACCCCACTTGGCACAATAGTACTCTCCTATATTTCCACATCTATTGGCGGTTGCCCGGGACCTGCCGTCCCGGGGGCAGACATAGAAGTCGTGGCTTGCTAAGTACCTTCTCTTTTGGGGTGAACACAGCCATAATGATCATCCGCACTCAGGTCCCAAGTACTAGGGCAACTGTATCCCTCTAGGGGGATGTCGGTATGCATTGCATCAGGTATGTCCCACTGGCCCGACTTTATACCAGCTATCAATTGACAAAAGTCAGGGGTGAGGTCTGGCCACCAAGTACCCCAAGGGTGGTTCCTAGAGGTAATTTGCCAGATTATGTCTGAAGTACCTGATATAACTTGCCACGTCTGTTGTACGGGCTGGTGCGGGTTGCAAGAGGTTAAGTACAATTTAGAAAACAGAAAAAACCAGAAGTAGGGAATTAGGCCCGAATGAGTCTTATCTTTAGGGGGTTTTGAGAACGCTGGACCCGCCATTGCGGAGGCTCTTGGTGGGCGGAGTCGTCTATTCCATTAAAGGAGCTCTTTTGACATGCGATGCATGGATCCAGGAGGCAATTCCGTCTACTTTGAGGGCGGTGGGAGTTGTCAGAAGTACAGTGTAGGGTCCTTTCCAGCGAGGTTCCAGGTTTTTGGTCTGATGCCTGCGGACCCAGACTGAGTCACCAATCTGAAAGGAATGGGGCAGTGAGGGGGTTTTAAGTTCCTGATTGTAGGCCTGGGCAAGCGGTCTCCAGACCTCTTGTTGTACCCATTGTAGGGCTTGTAAATGGCTTTGCAAAGAAGGTGTCTTAACCTGGTCAGTGTCATAAAAGGTTACTGCAGGGGGGGGTCCCCCAAACATGATTTCAAACGGGGTTAGTCCATGGGGGCCAGGAGTATTCCTGGCCCTATACAATGCTAGTGGTAGGAGCTGTACCCAGTCTTTATTGCCAGCTGCAAGCATCAATTTGGTTAAAGTCTCCTTGATTGTTCTATTCATCCTTTCTACCTGTCCTGAACTCTGGGGTCTATATGCACAATGCAATTTCCAATTTATCCCCAGTACCCTGGCCACCTGCTGGCTTACCTGGGAGGTGAAGGCTGGCCCGTTATCCGACCCTAGTGCTTTAGGAAGTCCATACCTGGGGAAGATTTCTTCCAGTAGCTTCTTGGTGACCACCGTTGCAGTCTCTGTCTTGGTGGGGAAGGCCTCTACCCATCCTGAAAAAGTATCTACAAAAACTAGCAGGTACTTGTAGCCATACATCCTGGGCTTAACCTCAGTGAAGTCTCTTTCCCATTGATTGCCAGGGCTGTGCCCTCGTACACGTACCCCTGGATCAAGCCTGGTTCTTCCTGCATTGACCTGCGCACAGGTGGGGCACTTGTCCACTATTTGTTGGAGAATTTGGTCTCTTTTGGGGAAATACCCGAGGGATCCTTGCCTGGTTATTAGTTCTTTCATTTTTCTTGCACTTAGGTGGGTCAAGTTATGCAAATGTTGAAACATTTCTCGGGTCTCTTTAATAGGGTAGACATATTTATTTTGATACAACCATTTTGGGGTTGTGTGGTCAAAGTCAGCTCCCAATTTCTGGATTAAGTCCAAGTCCTCATCAGAGTAGTTCCAGTCCCAGCTTGGTTGTGTGGCTTCCTTAGCATCAGATCGTAGGGGAAGTATTTGTGGTCCCAGAGCTGCTTGCCGGGCAGCTTCATCTGCCAGTCTGTTGCCCCTTGCCACCAGGCTGCTCCCCTTCTGATGCCCAGGACAGTGTATAATGCTTAACTTGCTTGGGAGAAACAAGGCCTGGAGCAGTTCTAAAATTTCAGCCTTATTTTTGATTTCTTTTCCTGCTGAGGTTAGAAGGCCCCTACGCCGATAAATCTCCCCGTGTACATGAGCAGTGGCGAATGCATACCTGCTGTCGGCGTACACATTTAATCTCTTTCCTTCTGCCATACGCAATACCTTAGTTAGAGCCATCAATTCAGCCCTTTGGGCAGAGGTGCTCTCCGGGAGCGCGCTAGCCCATATTACCTCCGAGTCCGTGGTGACGGCCGCTCCAGCCCGTCTCTTTCCGCCTTCCAGGTAACTACTGCCGTCGGTGAACCACGTCTTCTCAGCATCCGCTAAGGGAACGTCCAGGAGGTCTGGTCGAGACCCATGTACCTCGGCAAGGATCTGGCTACAGTCATGAAGAGGCATCTTTCCCGGGAGAGGCAGCAGGGTGGCTGGGTTGAGGGTCACCAGTGGCCCATACTGGATCCATTCAGAGTCCAGTAGGAGAGATTGGTAGTGAGTCAAGCGCGCGTTGGATAGCCACCGCTCCGGAGGCTATCGCACTATGGTCTCAATGGCATGGGGAGTCAGTAGAGTCAGTGGCTGTCCCCAGGTTAACTTGGTGGCGTCTTTGACTAGCATTGCAATGGCGGCTACCATTCGTAGACAAGGGGGCCACCTTGCAGCCACAGGATCTAGCTTTTTGGAGAGGTAAGCAATTGGCCTCCTCCAGGGCCCCAGCTTCTGGGTCAATACTCCCTTTGCATAGCCCTGTTTTTCATCAGCAAATAGTTCAAAGGGCTTAGTCACGTCCGGGAGTCCCAAAGCAGGGGAGGCCAGTAGGGCCCCTTTAATCTGGTCAAAAGCCTGTTGCTGTTCGCTGTTCCATTGAAAGGGAACCCCCTGCTTAGTGAGCGGGTACAAGGGGGCCGCCATCTCCGCAAAACCAGGAATCCACAGGCGACAGAAGCCGGCTGTGCCCAGAAACTCCCTTACTTCTCTTGAGTTTTGGGGAGGCGGGATGCTACATATAGCCTCTTTTCTGGCAGGGGTCAACCAGCGCTGTCCTCGAATTTCATACCCCAGATAGGTCACAGTTTGTTGGCAAATTTGTGCCTTCTTAGCAGATGCCCGATACCCACGCTCCCCCAAGGTTTTAAGCAGTACCTCAGTACCTCTCAAGCACTCCTCTCTCGTGGTGGCTGCGAGGAGGAGATCATCTACATACTGAAGCATTATTAAAGAAGGATGTTGAAGACGAAAATCTGCCAAGTCCTTGTGGAGGGCTTCGTCGAACAGGGTCAGGCTATTTTTGAATCCTTGTGGCAATCTTGTCCACATGAGTTGTCCTGAGATGCCCTGTTCGGGGTCTCTCCACTCAAAGGCAAATAAGCTCTGACTCTGGGGACTAAGCCGGAGGCAGAAGAAGGCATCTTTCAAGTCTATAACAGTATACCAGGTGTGTGTGGGAGGCAAGGTACTAAGCAGGTTATACGGGTTAGGAACTGTCGGGTGAATGTCCTCTACCCGTTCATTTACTTTTCTTAGGTCCTGAACTGGCCGGTAATCATTGGTGCCTGGCTTCTTAACAGGTAATAGAGGCGTGTTCCAGGGGGAACGACAAGGGGCAAGTATGCCTTGATCCAGGAGTCGTCGAATATGGGGTTTTATTCCCTCATAGGCCTCCTTTGACATAGGGTATTGTTTAATTTTTATGGGCGTGGCGGTTGCTTTCAACTGGACCACCAGTGGGGGTTGTTGTATGGCCAGTCCTATTCCGCCTGTTTCTGCCCAGGCATTTGGAATTGCTTTTAGCCAGTCCCCCATTTCTTTGGGCACACTCTTTGGTTTTTCAAAAAGTCTATATTCCTCTTCTAATTGGAAAGTTAAAACATGCAGGGGTCGGCCTGCCGGTCCCGTTACGGCGGCCCCTTTTTCCTTTAGTTTGGTTAATAAATCCCTCCCTAGCAATGGGTAGGGACAGTCAGGGATGTGAAGAAAAGAATGGGTGACCTTACCAGTATCCAAACGAACTTTTCTGTCTGTGGTCCAGTGGTATTGCTTGCTGCCAGTTGCACCTTGTACCCAAGTAGTTCGGCCACTGAGTGGGCCCTGATCTTTGGTTAGGACCGAGTACTGGGCTCCTGTGTCCACGAGAAAGGTTACTGGTCGCTCCCCCACAGTTAGAGTTACCTTGGGCTCAGGGGGGAGCTCCTGGCCCTGACCTCCCTAGTCTTCGTCCAGGGCTAAGAGTTGGGCAGGGGGACCTGTGGTCCTTCGCCTGGGGTTCTTTGGGTTCTTCGGACAGTCTTTTACCCAATGTCCTGTTTCCTTGCAATAAGCACATTGGTCGCGGTTTACTTAAGGCCGCCTCATCCTCCCCTTCTCCTCTGCCTGACCTGCGCCTTGTCTACCTGAGACTACAGTGGCCAGGATTTTACTAAGTTCTCTATTTCTTTTTCGATCCCTCTCTTCCTCTCGTTCCTCGCTTTCCTTTCTACATCTGTCTTCCTTTTCCTCCAGGGTCTCTCTCTTGTTATAGATCTTTTCTGCCTCTTTTAACAAATCCTGCAGGGAGTAATCCTGCAAATTATCCAGCCTCTGTAACTTTGCCCTGATATCTGGGGCGGACTGCCAGATAAAGGCCATGGACACATTTCCCCGCTGTTCTTGACTATCAGGATCGAAAGGAGTGTACCTGCGGTAAGCTTCCTTTAGCCTTTCTAGAAAAGCGGTGGGGGTTTCCTCCGCTCCTTGAACTGCCTGCCTTACCTGGGCCAAATTGGTGGGCTTTTGCCCTGCCTTATGGAGACCCGCTATGAGCAGCCGGCGGTAAAGACGTAGGTGGGTCCTACCTTCAGCCGTGTTAAAATCCCAATGGGGCGGGTCAGGGGAAAGGCGTCATCTATGATGTTCGGAAGTTGGGTGGGGCAGCCGTCGTCTCCCGGCACATTCTTTCTGGCCTCCAGGATCACCTTTTGCCTTTCTTTTGAAGTGAGGAGAACCTGTAACAGTTGCTGACAATCATCCCAAGTGGGCTGATGAGTGGTCAGAATGGATTCTATTAGGGCCGTAAGGGCCACCGGGTCCTGAGAGAAAGTGGGGTTATGTGTTTTCCAATTATACAAGTCAGACGCAGAGAAGGGCCAATACTGCAGGTGATGTCCTGGTCCCGCCGCAGGGCGCAGGGGCAGTGTCACCGCTGTTTCCTCCTGGCCTCGATCTCTCCTATCTCGGAGGCGACCTGCAATGGGAGACCCTGTGGCCCGCTGCGGCTCTGCTCTTGGCCCTCTTGGCTCTAATGGAAGGCCCCGGTAGGGGGAGTCGTCCGAGGTCAGAACTGGCTTCGGTTCTGGCCTCTCCGGTACTTTTGTAGGTTCCGATTTCAGAAGGGGGTAAAGGGAAACGGTAGGTGTGGAAGGAGGGGGAGCGGAAGGTGCGGAGGGCTGAGGTACAGGGGGAAGAGGAGGTGTAGAAGGAGGGGGAGCGGAAGGCGCGGAGGACTGAGGAGGCTGAGGAAGCGTAGGAGAAGGAAGGGAAGGAAGAGGGCGAGGTATGAGGAGAGCAAGCCAGGAAGGGGGGTCATCAGCAAGGGACTCCCAGGTTATAATATACGGGACTTGGTCCGGGTGTCCGTGAGGTCCCTGAAGAAATATCTTTTGTTTGACCTGTGAAATAATTTGGCGATTGAAGGTCCCCTCCTTCGGCCATCCCACATTGAGGGTTGGCCACTCGGAAGAGCAGAGAGTTTGCCATTTTCCTTTCCTTACTTCTACGGAGAGATTGTGCGCAATCCCTTTAACTTCTTTCCAGTGGTTAAGAGTTAAAGATAGAGGAGTAACAACCGCCTGGCCCCCATGTTAAAAAGAATAAGAGTTAGACTGACACTAAACACAAAAGAAGACAAAAACTACCCAGGTATAGACAAACGCTGCGCGACTCCGGCTACAAACCGAAAGCAAATTCAAATTTCCAAGCGGGGAAGCAAACTGTCCTCCCTCCAAACGAACGAATCCGGCGGATTCGTTCCAGGCCCCGAAAAATCGGGCCCCTCTAATCCCTGAGGCGTCCCCCAGGGTGGCGGGGGAGAAGTCTGAGCTCGTCAGCTCCTTCTCAAGCTGCCCAAATACAAAGCTATTACGCGTAATAGTACAAACGCTGCGCGGAAAACACCAGACAAACAGAGACAAAGACAGAGACAAAGACAGAGACAAAGACAGAGGCCGGCCGGCTTACCTCCTGGTGGGTCTGAGCTGGAGTGGGTCAGGGGGCTATCCCGGACGAGCCCCCAAGATGAAAGACCCCCGACTTCGGGTCTCCCCAAATCAGAGCCTCCCTGCCCCAAGCACCAGTCAGACGACACCAGATGCAAAGGCAAGAGGATTTTATTTGGGCATGCCCAGGTTCCCAGGTGCACGTGACCTCGAGATCCGCAAGGTTCGGGTCAGTGTCTGGGAACCCCGAGCAGTCCCAGGGGTGGTCTTTTTATGGGACCCCTCTGTCCGTTACAGGAGTGCCCGTGCTTTTTCAGCCAGTAATTTTAAAGTGTTACAACCTGGTCTGCACGCAGGCAGCCAATCCTTTTAAAACAAATCATATATTTTAGCCAATTACTGTTCGAGGGGGTCCCCCGGTGTACGTGCCGTCTCCGGCCCTTGGTATGAGGAAATGACCTTTACCCGAGATAGCACCTGTGAATAGTTTCGGTCAGGGGAGACCAGCTGTAGAGTCGGCCAGCAGATGTGAGCTTATCGATTAACTTGTGAGGTTACTGCTTAATTACTAGGAGAGTAAGGGGTAAGGTAATTTTTAGCAAAGCATGTTACAGAAGCCAGAAATTGCTTGGTTAGACATGAAACTCGGCTCCCTGGCAAAGGGGCTAGAGGCCTGGTGGTTTGAGGAGGGGGTCTTTCACTTTAAACAAAAAAGGGGGAACTGTAGAGAGCTGCGCGCAGCCGCACCTGGAAGATGGCGCTGGCTTCCGCCCTCCGCCTTCCCGATGGCGAGCGCTCTCTGTGGTAAACAACTCCTTTTATGGCTAAGGCAAAGAATCTGGCTTGCTTCCTCGCACCTGAACCTATTGGTGGTTCCCACGTGGCGTATCAGGGTTGGCTACCCAGTGGGTACTTAAGGCTGTGTGGGATTCTCCCCGGGGTTGGGGTCGGAAGATTGCTAAAGGTCCTGAATAAACTGCAGAGAGAAGAGTTCGGTGTCGCGTCTTCCTTGCTGGTCGAGGCGGTAGCGACACTCTACCACTTGAACCACAGAGCCACTTCTAGCTTTTTGGTGGTTCGTGGGAGATAAGAGTTTCATGGCCAGATGGATCTTACCCAGGCTGGCCTTGAACCATGATCCTCTAGATCTTTGCCTCCTGATGGCAGGCGTGAGCCACCAGCGCCTGACTTGTTCTTTTCAATCAGCTCAGCTGGACAGCTAACTCGCCAAGTCTGATGGGGGAGATGATAAAGTTTTACTAGTTCGTGAAGACACGTCCCCAAGCCCCACCCTACTGGGTTACGCCTTGCCCAGGACCACATAAAAAAGCGCGGAGTCCCTCCCCCCCTTGCTCAGAGGCAGCTCTGGCCACACAGGCATCAGGACTGACTGACTGCTTTCTGGGACCACAGGACCGAGGACACAATGACCACGATGAACGGTGAGTGCAGGAAATCTCCCTGTAGCTCAGCCCAACCCACCGTTGGCCCACACACTGGCTGTCCCTAACTCAGCCCAGGCTGGCGAGGCCAGCTCTGCTTTATTCTCTATCTACTCATTTAAAAGAAATGCACCCAGTACCTGTGGCTCATGCCTGGCTGCCATCCGAAGGTCACAGGTTCAAAGCCATCCCAGGCAGGAAAAGTTTGGGAGACTCAACCTCCAGTGAGCCACTAAAACCCAGAAGTAGAACTGGGGCTGAAAGCGATAAGAGTGCTATCCTGGAGCAAAAGAGGTCAGGCAGCAGCAGTGCCTAGGCCCCGAGTTCAAGACCCAGGACCAGCAGAAAAACAAAAACCCCCACTTCGCATTTCTTTTTTTTTGTCGGTCGTGGGGCTTGAACTCTGGGCCTGAGCGCTGTCCCTCAGCTCAAGGCGAGCGCTCTACCACTTGAGCTACAGCGCCACTTCCGGTTTTCTGGTGGTTTATTGGAGATAGGAGTCTCACCATCTCTCCTGCCCGGGCTGGCTTTGAACTGTGATCCTCAGATCTCAGCCTCCTGAGTAGCTAGGATTATGGGCGTGAGCCACCAGCGCCCAGCTCACTTTGCATTTCTGTATGATTTCCAACATGACCCAAAAGTATAAGAAGACTTCCCGTAGCCATTCCCTAAGTGCTGCATGCATTTGTTTTATCCGTCTCGATTATTCTGGAACCTTCTGTGGTCTCATGAGATCCACCAGCTAGATCCTTCATGGTAGGCAAGAATAGATGAAGAACTGTGCACTGAAACTCCACTCTGGGCCTGAGTCACTTTCCAGATGCTCTCTTTTGCTTTTCTTTTTTTCTTTTCAGGGTTTGGTGTCCGTCCTAGGGCTTGAACACGGGGCCTGGGCACTGCCCCTGAGCTTTTTCCACGCAAGGGCTACCACTTGAGCCATAGCTCCACTTCTAGCTTTCTGGTGGCTCATCAGAGATAAGACAGGCTTTTTGTCCCCGGGCTGGCTTTGAACCACGATCCTAAGATCCCGGGCTCCTGAGTAGCTAGGATTCTAGGTGTAAGCCACTAGCATCCAGCAGAGAAGGGGTCTGAAGTCCCTAGCACGTGTTCATTAGTGGGGCAGATCAGTGAATGTCTCCCACCCCTGTGTTCAGCCATCATTGGCTTCACAGCTGGGTGCAGTTTTGTAAATTACCAGGGACAAGGTAGCAAGAAAGGTAGGGTGTCCTGGCCCAGGGTTTGATTTTGAGATGGCACTTGCTGCTGCTCGGGTCGTTTTCCTCCCTGGCCTGCGGTCTCAGGCCACACTGGCCTGTTTATTTCGCATCTAGTCCTCCTGCTTCTTCACTGCAAGGAACAATTTGATTTTCAGGGTTTAAAAGACCAAAGATGGCCAGAGCTCAAAGCAAGCGCTCTACCACTTGAGCCACAACGCCACTTCTGCTTTTCTGGTGGTTCATTGGAGAGAAGAGTCTCACGGACTTTCCTGCCCAGGCTGGCTTTGAACCATGATCCTCTGATCTCAGCCTCCTGAGTAGCTAGGATGACAGGCGGGAGCCACCAGTGCCTGACACATGCGCTAGTTCTATGTTCTGGGCTTTGAACTCAGGACCTGGGCACTGTCCTGTCCCTGAGGGTTTTTTTTTTCTTTCTTTTTGCTCAAGGCTAGCTCTCTACCTCTTGAGCCACAGCTCCATGTGTGCAGCTTCTTTGTTGAGATGTGGGAGATAAAGAGTCTCCTAGACTTCGTTGCCCTGGTGGCCTCAAACTGCAATCCTCACATCTCAGCCTCCTGAATAGCTGGGATGACAGGCGTGAGCTACGGGCATTAGTGAGGCTTGTTGTGGCTTTAGGCTTGAGGGCAGCGGGGCGCCGGTGGCTCCCGCCTATCATCCTAGCTGCTCAGGAAGCTGAGAGCTAAGGATCATCATTTGAAGCCAGCCCGGGCGGGAAAGTCTGTGGGACTCTTATCTCCAATAAACGAATCAGAAAAAGCCAAGTGGCTCAAGTGGTAGAGCACCCAAGGCCCAGAGTTCAAGCCCCCAGGATTGGCAAAAAAAAAAAAAAAATCAAAGAACGAGGGCTGTAAGCTCCTCCCCAGTGTTAATTATAAACAAATGTCTGTCTGTCCATTCCTCCCCCCCCCGCCGTGTGTGTCTGCACCTCCCTGTCCGCCCTGCACCCCAACAGAGTTGCAGGCTCTCCGCATTGACTTCTTGAGGAAGCAGAACACCACGGCCCACCACACGGACAACTTCCAGACCAACAAACTCGTGCTCCGTCGCGGCCAGGTATTCCACCTGCGTCTGATGCTCAGCAAATCTTTGGAGCCCCACGAGCAACTGAAGCTGCAGTTTGCTATCGGTGAGTCCTCGGGGTGCATGTGTGTGGGGGAGGGGTGTTTGTGTGTGAAAAGGGTAGAGTGGGGTCTGTGTTTTTGCCTCCCCAAATCTCAGCCATCCACCGGCCTCGCAGCCAGTCAGTCATACTTTGGCCCCACATAGCACACACCTGTAATCCCGGCGGGTAGACAGGAAGTCAAGACTCTCTCCGTTTTGGGTGTTCCCAGGGCCGAATCCTAGCATTGCCAAACACACCCTGGTGGAGCTGAACCTGAAGATGCCCACCGCGTCCCGCTTCGAGGGCTGGAAGGCTTCGCTGACCAGTAACACCGGCAGGGAGGTGAGAGCCACGGCCCTGCGGGCTCTGCCTCACTGGCTTCCGGACAGTTCTGGGACTAATTTCAGATGCTACGGTCCTCACCTTCTAGGTGGCCACAGAGCTTAAAGACCCAGACCACTGTCTCCCAGTGGCTCTCCTCCCCTCTGCCTCTCCATCTGCTTCTCTTCTCTGCCCCCTGACCATGGGTACACCGCCTCCATTTCACTCCTTCCCACACTTCTTTTCTTTTGCCGGTACCAGCATTTGAACTCAGAGCCTTACATACTTGCTAGCTCACAGCTGGTGCCCTACCACTTGAGCCATGCCTCTAGTCCTATTTTATTTTGGTGGGTAATTGGAGAGAAGAGTCTCTTGGAGCCAGGTGCCTGTCAGCTTAGCTTCTCAGGAGGCTGAGATCTTGAGGATTGCAGTTCAAAGACAACCTAGGCAGGAAACTCCCCGAGACTCCTTTATCTCCAATCAGCACCAAAAAAAAAATGTCAGAAGTGGAAGTGTGGCTCAAGTGGTAGAGCACCAGCCTTGAGTGAAAAAGCTCAGGAACAGAGTCCAAGCCCTAGGATTGGTGCATGCGTGCGCGTGTGCGCGCGCGCACACACACACACACACACACACACACACTCTGTGTTGGTTAGGCCAGGCACCAGTGGCTCACACCTGTCATCCCAGCTACTCAGGAGGCTGAGATCTGAGGATCGTGGTTTGAAGCCAGCCTGGGCAGGAAAGTCTGTGAGACTCTCATCTCCAGTGAATCACCAGAAAAGCAGAAGTGGCGCCGTAGCTCAAGTGGTAGAGTGTTTGTGTTGCGCACAAAGTGGCTCAGGGACAGTGCCCAGGCCCACAGCTCAAGCCCCAGGACTGGAAAAGAAAAGATCGTTAGGACGTATGGAGTGTTCTAGGGCCTTTCTAGGAGCCCGGTCTGGTGGGAGGGCGGTGTCCACCCTGTCCCGTGCCTCTCTCAGGTCATCGTGGCCATCACCAGCGCCCCCAACTCCATCGTGGGCAAATACGAGATGGCCGTGAAGACCGGAAGCCACACATTCAGGGTGCATGAGGACTTCTACCTTCTCTTCAACCCCTGGTGCATTGGTAACGTGCAGCTCTCTGTGTGTGTGGGGGGGGGGGATATGAGGAGGGCCCCTGATAGTGGAATAGGACCCAACCCAGCACCCCTGGGACATCGTCCTCTTTGTGGCCAAACCCCCATGAATTCAGGCCCCTTTCCCCGCTTTTCCTCCTCCCTATTGCCCTGCCTGCCAACCTTGATAGACATTGATGGACAGCTACAGCCCACCAATAGTGTCTTCCTTGGCAGCTCTAACGGAGGGGCTAAACCCAGACAGGTGGCTCTTCTCTCCCTGTCTGCAGACTCTCACTTGGTTGTGTGTGTGTGTGTGTGTGTATGGGGGCGTGTTGTCGATCGTGGGGTTTGAACTCTGGGCCTGGGCACTGTCCCTCAGCTCTTCAGCTCAAGGCTAGCGCTCTACCACTTGAGCCATAGCACCACTTCTGGCTTTTTCTTTTTATGTGGTGCTAAGGAATCGAACCCAGGGCCTCATGCATGCAAGGCAAGCACTCTACCACTGAGCCACCTTCCCAGCCCTTGGTTGTGTTTTTGTTTGTTGGTTTGTTTGTTTTGCCAGTTCTGGGGCTTGAACTCAGGGCCTGGGCACTCTACTACTTAAGCCACAACACCAATTCCAGCTTTTTCTGTGATGCATTGGAGGTAAGAGTCTCATGAACTTTCCTACCCAGGCTGGCTTCAAACCACAATTCTCAGATCTCAGCCTCCTGAGTAGCTAGGCTGACAGCGTGAGCCATGGACATCTGGACACAGTTCATCTTTTTTCTTTTTTTTTCTTCCAGTCCTGGGATTTGAACTCAGGGCCTAGACACTGCCCCTGAACTTCTTTTTGTTCAAGGCTAGCACTCTACCACTTGAGTCACAGCACCACTTCCAGTTTTCTGGTGGTTCAGTGAAGATAAGATTCTCATGGACTTTCCTGCCTAGCTGGGCTGGCTTCAAATTGTGATCCTCAGATCTCAGCCTCCTGAGTAGCTGGGATGACAGGCGTGAGCTACCAACGCTTGGCTTTTTTTTTCTTCTCTTTTTTTCCCTCTCGCAGTGAAATTTCCTTATACCTCACTCAGAATGTTCTGGAAGTTCTTAGGACTTCTAATCCAAACTCTATTGCCTGGGGTTGGAGGCACGATTCAAGGGGTAGAGTGCCAGCCCATGAGTGAATACATCAGCTACTTTGTTCCAATCCTGGTCACAGACAAGAGACAAATGTGTTACCATCATCCCTCCACCCCTCTCTCCCACCCTCCCACCACGGAGACTTTCCAGCCCCTGTAGCCCAGGTGGTGCACCCCTCCTCCCCAAGCCCCATGGGTTGGCCACCCACGCGGCCACATGGTCTCCCCACAGACGACCCGGTTTTCCTGCCTGACGAGGAGGAGCGCAAGGAGTACATCCTCAACGACACCGGCTACATATACATGGGCTTCGCCAAGCACATTCGCGGCAAGCCCTGGAACTTCGGCCAGGTAACAACTCACCTGGTACGCGCCCTGTCCCCTTGCTTTAGCTAGAGTGTGATGGGCTGCCAGACAGAGGGAAGTCGGGGAGCTTCAGGTCAAAGGTCAGTGGTGTGCCACTGGACCAAACTGGTGGAGGAACTGAGACAGAGGCCCCTCCATCTATCCATCCATCCATCCATCTGTCCACCCATCCATCCACCGATCCACTTATTCATCCATCCATCCACCCATCCATCCATCCACCCATCCATCTATTCATCCATCCACCCATCCATCCATCCACCATGCATCCATCTATCCATCCATCTACCCACTAATCCATCCACCCTCCACCCAGCCACCCATCCATCCACCCAGCCACCCATCCATCCATCCATCTACCCATCCATCCATCCATCCATCCACCCATCTACCCACCACCCATCCATCCACCCATCCACCCATCTACCTATCCACCTACCCATCTATCCATCCATCCACCCAGCCACCCATCCATCCACCCATCTATCCATCCACCCATCCATCCATCCATCTACCCACCCACCCACCCATCCACCCATCCATTCATCCTCCCATCCATCCATCCACCCATCCATCCACCCACCCACCCATCCATCTATCCATCCACCCATCCATCCATCCACCACCCATCCATCTATCCACCCACTCATCCATCCACTCTCCACCCAGCCACCCATCCATCCACCCATCCACCCATCTACCCATCCACCCATCCACCCATCTACCCATCCACCCATCCACCCATCCATCCATCCATCCATCCATCCATTCATCCACTCATCCACCCACCCATCCATCCATCCATCCATCCATCCA